CCATTGGCTGTCGAATGGAATTTGGCCATCGAGTTGTAGCATGGAATACCGCGTGGGTACTGGAAATTTATCAAGGCAACATAAAGGCACATTCCAGTCTAATCACAGGTAGTCCAGTCATTATCAGCGAAAACGATCGGGCGCAGACGGCGGCGTGGCTTGGAGTGCAGCCAGAGCAGACTTCCCTCCAACTGTAGCGCACTCAGGATGACACTTTTGTTGGAATAAGGCCACCCTGGCTGCGGAACCACCGCGCAGCGTCAAACGTCCCAATCATTTGCATGAATCACCACTGTATATTCCATCGTTCCTAACTCACTGTTCGATGAAAAAGCATACAAGGTCCCTCCTAGGCCGCGTTCATACCTCGCAACTCGAGCTATTCAGTCGCGCGATATGTGAATATCGGAGGCTGCCAACTGCTCATCCCCATTACTCGCTGGACAGCTGCAGCAGCTAATGCATGGAAAAGACCTGCTCGAACCTTATAGCTGATCCAAAGGTTAGCATTAGAGCGCGGTCGATGATAGTCGACTCCCAAATCGCGCAACTTAAGTCGCGAAGTATGAACGCGGCCTTACTTGACGTCTACTATTGTTTAGTCATCCGTTAGCAGTACTTACCAGACAACGATCTGGTCCAGGACATTTCATCTGTCCAATATTTCCTGAATAGTGGTATTTGTAATAGGTGTCCTCAAAACACTGATCGATCACTTCGCGGTAGACAAATATTCTTGGCAGCGATGGGAAGATTTTTGCAACTTCCGGTTTTCTGGACATCCTGAACAACGCTCTGAATTTCTGCTAGTCGATAATTCCACTTGACCGATTACCTTTCAAAATCGAGTTGAATCTCGTCGATATCTTGCAGTGAAAGAAGCGGTTCGTCAGTTACCTGACTTGGAGTATTAGGTTTGAATGCTGGCGGTTTGCTGAATTTGATATTCCTTTGATCTGGTTGGTAACCTGAAATCCTAGATTTCTTTATGTAAACTGTTCCTGAGTAAGGTGGACCGGGCTTGAAATAAGTATAAGCACCACCCACCAAATGCATATGTTTAAGATGAGTGATGGCATTTAGATGATTTGGAACAGTATACCTGAAAAAAATCCGATAAAGAAATTACAGGGACACTAAGGACTGAAGGAGTAGGGCGAGAACATTTGGTACTTGTTTTAAAATAGTAGCGGAGGCACAATGGGAAAAAAGACGAAAAAGCGAAGTGAAACGGCCATAACCTGCGAAAAACCTTTATTTTGAAGGGCATTGGACGAGCATTTCTGGACGAGATCCCTGCTGGCCTCGTGCCAACAACCGCTTTGATACCCATGCAGCATCGGTTCATACCACATGTACTTCATAAAAGCGGTAAGAGTACTAGCGTCAATTTGGCTGTGCGGCCATTTATGGGCGGGCGGTTGCGATGGTCGCCATGCTGCACCTTGGTTAGGCGCTATATTGTGCCCGTGGTTGGAAAAGGCGCCACGCAGCGCTGCTAAGGAGGCAATAATCTTTCGTGCCAGGCGAATCGACTCTGTACGCCCTGTCGATTCGCCGTGCCACTTGCTTTTGAGGATACAGGAAGAGCGCATAGGCGAATCATTTATTGGGACAGTTCTACCATTCCTATTTGACGGATGAAAGGAACGTTCCACATTAATGGTATGGGCAGGCACAGAGAATATTCCAGGAGAAGCGCAGCTCCTCTTTACCTCCCTAGAAGTGAGATGCACTAGTGAAGAACAGTCAGCATTTCACAGTCTCCGCCCATCTTATTACTGTGGAAAACGCCTTCAAATCCGACGCTACACATCTTTTCTCCATGAGACATTCATGCATGCACTTTGCATTGCCTTCAGAACTTCAGTAGTATCATAGAAGAACTTCTTGTCCTTCAGTATAACGCGAGTTCAGGGTACAGCATCGTTGGGAGATTCTCATCAGGGGTCTCATTTTGCTGGTGGGTAAATGACTCGGATTACTTCGAGGAAAACTTCTTCAATTGTTGATTTTTTCCATGTTATATGTTCTGTCCCCCACTTCTCCACCTGACACCTGTGTTTTTTTTTGGAAAAAAGTAATCAAAATCTTGGAAAATTGGTAGAGAGTTGGAAGAAAGCGGTGCAGTGTGGGTAGGCTGTGCGACGGGGTGGGGGAGGGGGGAAGATGTCGTACAATGATAGGAAACTTGTGAGGGGAAGGTACACTCGAAATCCCGGAGATGAGGCTACTTCAACCAAACGTCGTGGTGGCTACGCTTTTGGAGAGTTATTTTCATCTTGACCCAAATGTGGTCATATCTCTGTCCAACAAGGTACAAGACGGCGCTGTTTTAAGTTGAAATATCCTACAAGTAACAGTTCTGTGCCATGTTCGAATTGCCACGACCCCTGCCCCGTCTCAGGATAAGGTGTATAGTTACTTGGCACCGCCACCTAACCGATCCTGACTATACCGTGGGCGACAACAGCAATGTTCTCTGTACCTTGTCCAACCTAGCACCCACTAGCACTCTTCGTAAGGATGGAAAGCCTCAATGGCCTGGGCGGGAATCTAACGGGCTCCACGTCGAAATAGATCTGCACAGAAAAAATAGTTTTGTTCGCGGATGCGGGGGCGTGTCAGGAGTGCTTGGAACGGCGCTAGCTCAGCTGCAAACCCCCTCTTCCCCGCCCTCCTGACACGCTTCAGTATCCGCATCGAACAAGACAGCACGCGTCTAAACGTATCAAAACCTTCCGTGCTTGGCCAATGATTTCCAGAACAGGTAGTAACTTGGAAGTTTAAAAGCTGGAAGAATCGCTGAGATGGTGGGGGGGGGGGGGATATAAAGCAGCTCATCAGATCACTCACCTATCCTTTCCACGTGCGATTTTCTTAGGATAATGTATCCAAGTGTGATTCACTTGCAATGGATCGGCAACCATTTTCCCAGTTTCACTGACATGTTCAAAATGAATAGTTGAGAGCATCGCCCTCAGTGAAAAGCTGCCCGAATTCCTTGCTGAAAACGGACAGAATATATGGAACTGAAGCCCCATAGGAAACACGAGGAATCTGAAGAGGCCTGATAACAGAAAGAAGAATGAAAGAAGAAAAAGATGAGATCTTGGAACAATAATTTGAGGGATGAAATAAACATGCAGGGTAAGGATCGAGTGAAGTCACTCAATTGCAAGTTGAGAGCATCGCCCTCAGTGAAAAGCTGCCCGAGTGCCTTGCTGAAAAATCGGACAGAATTTATCCGGGAAACCTGAAGCCGCAAAGGAAAACGCAGGGACAATTTGAAAGCAGCCCTGATGAAAGTGAACTCGTTCCTTTCGCTTTCCTTGGCTCTTTTCATCTTTCCCACCACAGTATCGATCACTGCGCATCTCTACAACAACTAGTGGGCGAAACCGAGTTGGCGAGGCGCGCCAAATGTAGCTATCCGCTGGCAAGCGCCCGGACAACGTTGCGAAATATGTTCCCTTCACTAGTCGGCTCAAGCGTGCTTTTCGCTTCTCATTTGTACGCCCTCTTTCTGTCCTTCCATAGCCAAGGTTGCTATAACGGGCACTGATGTCCTTACACTTTATGTGTGGATAGGGCCGGGCCTACCCCTCACCCCGCAGTCCCTTTCCTTCGGGGGAATCTCAGCTATGATAAGGTGGCTCACCCCAGGGCGTCCGTTTTTTTATTTTTTTTGGTTTTGATTTTTCTTCTTCACTCAAGAAAAGCCATCTCCAGGCACGCTACATGTTCCTTCTCACCTTTCAATGCTTTTGTGACCGCTGTTTTGCCTGCATTGCAGGGTTTGACGTCAGCAGCCATGCAAGACGTTCCCTTGCAAGGTCACGTAATCCCTCATCAAAAGCAGTGGTCACGATGGCAGGGTGCACTTGCTTCACATCTTTCCAAAGAATTTTCTTCCCAAAAAAATCTCGGCCGTTCTCGCAAATCCTACCCATCTTTTTGTCTAGGTTGGTCATCACTAATGCAAAAATAAGAAAGCTAAGTCTCAAAAGCTGGTGCGGTGAGTGTGAATGAATCCGATGCCCCAGGGTCCAACAGAATTAAACCATTTTCAAACCCACTCGGATTTCACTAAACCGCATCTAGCTTGTGTTTTCCTTCATGTAATGAATGTACGCAACATTTGGCATTGAATGGAAAAGATGAGCAAACTCGTCCAGATAATTTCTTGCCATTCTTGGAATCAGTACGTCGTCAAGATCCATGAACGCGATGTATGAAGCGGTTTCCTGAAGTGACTATTTTTGTTGCGTCCCAGTTACAACTGGATTTTTGTTCGTCCCAGTTATAACTTTGTCAGCATAATTTCACAAGTTCCCCATGAAAGAATTGTGAGATCTGAATGACAGATCAAATCGGTATCCCTAGATGTATGGGTTTTGCTGGGTTGGGCAAAATTCGTAGCAGGTGCCCTGGTGGGGGCATCAAATAGTGCATAAGCCACATTGTGAAGTCTTGTAAATTACTGCAACCAGATTGGCTCACTTGCGACATCTTGCTACCTCACCTGAGTTTACAGATCCTGATAGTCAAATGATTCTGCGGGAACAGCTAGCAACAGTACAGAATGCCCCTATCCCCACGCCAGAGCCTGAATGGACCATCGTGCCAACCATACCTGGCGGCGTAAGATTACCCCGCGGCACATCAACTCTTTTACCTTATGGCCAATAACAGCAATTATTACTGAACAACTCACCTTATACTGGAGCAAGCAATCGGTCTGTGCGGCTGCCTGATTCCGAAATTCGATGTTGATGTTTGGGTTGAAATCCCTGTCGTCAATTGTGAGCAAGGTGACCCGTAGCCACGGTTGAATACTTAAGTAACCCTGCAGAAAATTATGCCTATATCTCAAACGCATTCTTCATATTTCATTATGTGAGCAGCTAATAAAGTTACCATTTACTACTGGGATTACATGGATTCACTTCCGCTAAGAACAAACCTCTTCTTCGTAGATTCTGAGCAACTGGTAAACAGGAGAAACCATACTACGAACATATAGATGCATGTAGGTCCCGAATCTGCAACGGATTTACGAAAAATCTTCTGCAACTCTCATCAGAGAAGTATGGAGAAGGGCGGGGCACGCCCTCTGCAAATCACTGGCGGAAAATAGCTGGAGACACAGGCAGTCCTTACACAGGAGTTTAACAATGATTGGTCCCTTTGCTATGCGTCAGGTGTCCAACTCCCATTTATG